TTGCGATTTGTTGTACCCCTGTAGTACCAGTAGGCCAATAATTCAGCAATTCACCAGGTTGTCTATGGAGTTCAGTTGGTTCTCTTCATGGCCGCGGTAGCTGCTCAGTCCCTTGGTTCTGCAAGTAATCTGCCAATACAATTGCTTTTTGTGGATGGGAATTTTCATCTTGTAAATTGAAATTGTTCCTGAGGTACCTTCTAGCAAATGGAAGCCAGTTAATTAGTTTGCCAAATATCCTTGTATCCGATCTGGTTCAGGTTTCCATCGATGTCTACCAATGTAGTTTTGATACCAACTTGAATACCGCCCCGGATACAGATGCTCCCAGCGACCCAACGCAAGGAACGCTCCACACAGTGTTACAGAGGTATGGCCAGACCCTTACAGACAGGCCAAGCCCATTGTACTCAAATCTTTCCACCAAGAAACGTACCCACTTTTCTGTCACAACTAAACAAAGGTCACCCAGTCCGTTTTGAATGAAGGGCAGATTGCCATCAGAAAGCGTTTTCATGGCCCTCCAGACTGATTGCAACAGGTTACTATACCAGACAACTTCTGAGGAAGCCACTGTGAACTACACAACATCGTTGTCTGTTTCTCTGAATGGTTTTGGAGCCATCAACGTTTCACATCACAGGAACCATGTGGCTTTCGACATGAGGCCAGATTCCGTTTGTACCGCCAAGGTCGTCAAATTAGCCTGCACAGACACCTGAGGAAGCAAGGCGTGCGTGTGTCGCTCCTAGAGTGACTGGGGGCGGTTACAGCATCAGTTTTTGGGATGGAATTCATGTTAGTGCCAAAACGCTAATGGTGATCACCTACGAAAACCTGAACCACGTCAAGTCAGGGAATATTCTGGAAACCACCTTCCTACCATTTGTTAAAGGGCACCTTAGAAACAGTTTTATTTCATAGGATGAAAATGCCCGTCAACACAAAGCATTAGTTAATATTTGCAGATTACTTGCAGAACCAATTAAGGCTCTGAGGAGTTATCGCGGCCATCAATATGACCAGATCTGAGCCCTATAGACAGCATATATATGGACATCCAAATTGCGCTTTTATTGGCTGTCGTATGGCTTAGAATCAGCCATGTATTTTTCTGGAATTAATGAGGTTAATTCAATTAAAGAACTGGTGCTGCAATGACACTGAAGAGATTATTGACAGTTATTAAAACACGATTTGAACCCTCGTTTTCGTTTTAGTCAGAAAACTAAGACAAGCGATTAAAATGATTTGGAAAATTTATCTTATTTAATGTCAAGTCTTTATTTTAATGACACTGATTGATTTAATATTTAAGTCATCGAATTCTTCTTATATGTTTTAAGTTGACAATGTTATGATGTCTTTTAGCTACCTTTATCGCTTTTTATAGTGCATACACAAACCAACTTAAAGATGCAAGAATAAATGTAATTATTATTATATTATATAAATATGTAGAACATATTTAATTTCTCGTATTTTAGTCGACAAAAATGAACATTCAAAATATGCATTTTGATCTGTATTTTGACCATATATTTGGTGCCACCCTGCAAAAGATTTTGAAAATCTTTAACCTTGGGTGACCCGTTCATCGTACCAAGTATCAAATATAGCCTATTGGATAAAATAAACGCACAGTAATTAAAATAATAATACTTGTTTCTTGCACAATAAATGCTACATGTCCACATTCGTATAGGGGAAGCAGGCCGCCTTGACTGCAATATTTAAGTCCGTAAATTCACCCTCTAGCAGTATTTCCTACGATATATTCACAGAAGCACTATAGTCTGAACGATACATGCAAAATCAAGCTTTTCAATTTCTGAATCAATGCAGTCTAGATCAGATCGTCTCAGATTTTCTCAATAAAAGTAACTTTTATACATATATGTACACATTTCGCTTAAAGAGCCATGATTATTCACATAAAAACTGAGAATATAATGGCATTTCATCAATGTTAATCGGCTCTATAAAATGCTCGACCCCGCCATGGTCAAGCATGGGTAGTTTACACATTACCGTGACGGCTTTAGCCTTTACTTTTGCACCAAGGCTCCGTAATTATAGAAAAATTCAACAAAATATGTCAAAGATACTGATGGTTTCTATGAAAAATTTAGTGCACTCAAGAAATTCTTGAAATTTTCAGCAATCACCACCTCAACACCAAGAATGGTCGTCGTCTTTTTACAGCAACACGTGTCACAGCTACAGTGCAGTATTGGTGTAAGACAACATTTGAGGGTTATCTGCCGCGTATTCTAGTTTGTCCATTTTCTTCATATCCCCGATACTTCGTTCTGTTTCATCCTCACGCTGGTACCGATCTCCGTGCAAGTGGCCAACAACACTGAGCAGGGCAACCATCACCACAACGGCTATAGCGTACCCCAACACGTTGTACATGAACATCGACGGCCCAAAGTTCTCATACAAATAGCCGATGAGGAAGAGGTAAGCAATTCCACCGACGGATCCACCAAGAAGTAGCACTGTAATGGCCAGGCCGCTCATTTCTACGTAATGGTCGCCCAATGCAATACCTGAGGGAAACAGAGGTGCGATGAAGAACGCCATTGGTTGGGTGAAGATCCAAAGCATGAGGGGCTCGGTATGCCCCCATATATTCAACAGGATTGCCGAAATTAAGACGCCGGCTGCTTCTATAATGATCAAAAAGCGGACAGGGACCCAGTGGGCTACGATGAACCCGGAGAAGCGGCCAACAGAGAAGCTGATCCAGAAAACTACATTTAAGTAACTTGCTTCGTCCCCTGAGAAGTTGAGCTGATCTATGGCATAGGATCGGATGAACTTACCGTACAGTCTTTCCCCGCCTACCGCATTGAAAAAATGAAGAGATAACAGTATGAACATTTGGAGCCCAAAACAAAAGTTACCATCGGCGCAGGTGGCCGGATTGATGATGCGGATAAATTCTTTGACTCCATGAACTCTCTTCTTACTTTCAGTTTCGTGGTCAGCAGGATGGAGGACATACTCGGAATATTTCCACTGGTACACGAAGAAGGCAAGGGAGAGAGCAGTGACGAGGATGGCAACGATTAAGAAGGCATATTCAATCCGGGATTCCCTTAGGACGCGAGTTATCGTAGTCGAGTTTGTGGCGTCTGTCGTGTATTCCAAACTTGAAAGTGTAGGGGGCAGGGCGGTGGTAAACACAGACGTTATGTTCATTGAAGTATTTGTGAGGGTTGTTGTCTGTATGTTGGCAAGGAATGGGTTGGCGATCAGGGGAACGATCATCGAGCCGACGCCAAAGCCCGTGTGCAACACGTGGAGTGGGGAGGCAGCGTTCTTTCCCCAGATGGATAAAATCAGTTTTTGTCCCGCTGCAAAGAAACAAAATGACAATGTGCAAAAGACATGACTAAATTGTACTCACAACCTTGATAAAATTTGCAATCTCTTTTAAGAGAAAGAAAAAACCTTTACCATTCCATGGCCCTTGGGAACTACCAAAACCAAGGTTAGAGAACTAAGACTAAGTGCCGAAGAATATGCAACAAGGCAATAATATCCAAATTAAGGCAAACAATTTAGCAATGATTGTAGATCAACAACATCTTTTTAAAGAAGATAGACCATATTGTGTAGTACTCATATTACACTTTTGAAGAATTTTTACCGACTAACGAAACTACCTTCAAAATCTATCCTCAATAAGACCTGTGATATTTATCAGTAGAACGACCCCTTTGCCCTTGCTATCATAATGGGTGGAGAAACATGGATAATGGATAATTAACTAACCTATGTTGATGACCCCTTCACACGTTCCTTGCAGGAAAAATATGAACCATATAAGTCCTGTCCAAGGTGACCATGGTACGGCCACTGACCCGGCTGACATAATCACCAAACTAACTCCGATCATCAGGTCGCAGTACAGACGCAGTTTGTCCACCAGGAACCCCCCGATCACCGCCCCGGTGAAGAACCCCGCGCTGCGTCCAGATATGGCACGAGACACTTCCTCATAGTTGGTGCCAGTGCGCAGAATGAGGTCCTGCATGGTCGGCCCCGAGATTTCCAGTGACAAACCCTAGAACACATATATTTTACGGTATTTATTGATTGAAAATAAAGGATTTGCATTTTTTTTTTCAGAGGTAGGATGTCAATTCTATTTGAAATCAATTAGACACAGGCGGCTCTGGCGTCAATGACAATTACGTGGTCTTGTTCCTCTCTGTCGATTCTTTGAAATTTTTTATGCTGAGAAGGCAGAACAAGATGGAATTTATTCAAAGCCTTGCTTCGCACTCTTCCTTTCCCAGAATGATCCTGGAATGGTGTCCATTGTGCAAATGAAGTGAAAAAAAAGATACAAATTTACAGATGCAAATAGACGACACTGTAGAAGTTTGCAACACTTACCAGACAGACCCATGTTAGAATGAGGAACACGGTTTTCACAACACGAAATAGCGTGGACACGTAAAAGAGGTCTTTTATGTCCTCCGTGCTACTTTCAACTGCCGGTTTCGGTTTTTCGTCCATCTTGTGCTCAGCTTTCCTTTAAGACTTGTTTCAAGTTTTGGTACGTCTTCTTAACACTTTGTTTAACCTTATTTTGGGGCGTGTGTGTCTCTTCTATAAGATTGTGTCTTATCTCGTATACCATCTCGTATACTTAGCGATTTAAAACACGTTTCTGTCTTGATATATTTGCGAATGTCTATGCAGGATCACATGTTGTCCCGCTTTTATAAAAAAAGGTATAAAACTTGTTTTAACAAATGGCATCAACGAAACAAAACGTTTATGGAGTAAGGAAAATATCTTGTTCAATTTTGGGACTTTAAAATATCAGTGTTGTTCGGAACTTGTCAAACATGGAATGTTTTACCGACCCCGTACACCGGACTCTGACATCTTGATGCATGTTTACAGTGACTAAGTCTATATACACTGCTGATAAACATTGCCTCACTAACCGTTGCATCTATCAGTAGTTACCTCTTATCTTAGATCCCTGCTGCAGAAAGGCGTACCGGCAGTGAGGAAACCTAGATCTTACTGTCAGTGCAAACACATCATGGCCGCTGTTACGGGTGACCAAATAGCTGCCGTGTTACACGGAAAGAATGATATACGACTGGTAAGAAATTAATGAACCTTGAAAGTGAAACAGGAAGATGAAATTGACGGATACGTGTGTTAAATAGCTATTGATGTCAAAACGGTGTCCAGGGTCCCCCGAGATGTCAGGTGTCATTCAGGTGTTCTACGTGTGGGGGTATAGTAATGTAACAGTATTCTGGGTTTCCACTTTACATTAGCTTTGACGGTGGCACAGATTTGGTTGAGGTTTGTAACACAAATGTGCCACATCACACTATTTTTCAATGGTGGATTATACTGTGTATTTACTGTACTTAAGGTGTTTTGATGTTTGAATCAAACGTTAAAATGCCATTTGTGACTTGGACGTATAAAACGAATCGTGTAACTTATTCATCATGAAATAATTGTCCAATCCCTAACGAAAAAGTCCTATAGGTTCCTATAAGATCCTATAGAAAATTGGGCCAATTTCCTACAGGATTCTATAGGATCTTATAGGATCCTATAGGATTTTTTCGCAAGGGAATAGGAACACGAATACATCCATACTTTATGGTAACTTTAAATACACATTTAACCATTGAATAAATCGAATGTAAGAGAATTGTTTTAACTGAAACATGGTGGATTTTCACATATATAAAAACCTTTTTTTTTTAGGTCTCGTACATTTATTTTATGGAGTTTGCGAATGTACATGTTGTGTAACAACTGCAAAAAAAAAAAAAAAAAATCATATAATCATGATCCACCAGTACCAATTACGCCCACAGCAACATGTCTAATTGCATAGAAGCTACTTTGACATAATTACGTCCGTACATCGACCTCATTAGATGTTTGGTTTTAGATCAAATGATTACTAAGGAGATAACGTGCAACTATTCGAAAACAAAATAAACCAATCTGCGAAGCACAAAATTTTATATACGAGTGCTTCATTTCAAATTTAAAGGGATAATAACTCTTCGTTTTGGACAAAAAAATGGATTTTCCTGGAGTAAACAACAATTTTCTCATACTTACCAATGGTTAATGAATCCATTTTTAAAATTCAAAGTTAGTCCCTATTTTTTTTCTAAAAAGTTTGGTTTTTTGTTAAAATCTCTTAAGAGATTATAACAGAGTATAGCCATCAACGGAGGTCACGTGCTTTGAAGACAAGCTCAGATATCAGAATAACAGCTATAACTGCCTTTTTTGTGGTAAAACAGAATATATTATAATTCTATGAGTTGTTTACAATGTTTTTATTGTGAAATATAGATCTCATACGAAGAGTTATTATCCCTTTAAACTACTTAAATTAAATAATATGAAATCTGTTAACTTTCTTGATTTTTAAGTGCATTGTTTAATTTTTTTCAAAGATACATGTATATCTATATATTGCAATGCAAGAATCCAGGAATATTCCCTTTTGATTAATTCATGGTGCATATTGGTTAATAAAGAAGCATGATGTACAATGTACAATGCAAACGAGGCGCTTGCCCCTCTCTTTTTTTTTCTAGACTGCACACTTTGATGACGATGAACTTATAACTTGGTTAATTGAGAACCACGTGACAGGAGCGATATAATTTATCGTATTTAAAAGATAGTTTGAAATTGAATGGATACATTTTTATTCTCTTCATTTCAGGAAGAGACTCCAGTTCCTCAGCCAGGGAAGGGACGTACGTATAATTTACATCTCTTATGTAAGAATTTTCCAATTTACACCGCGTAACCTTTTAAAATGTATGTCTATATCATGTATTGATAATAAACACGACCTACTGTTCGCTTTTTATTGTTTCATTTTATTTAACTAACATTTTTGCTAATACAACACCGTTTGATTATTAGTTACAGTAATACTGTTAATACAGTTAATAGGAAATATGATCATCATCAGTAACAATACATGTACTCACAATCGTCTACAATTCCTATGTACAACCAACAATAACACGTGGTCTGTTCTTCAGAGGTTCAAATCCGAGTCCATTCTGTGGGGTTGTGTGGCACCGACTTCCACGCCTGGCAGAGAGGGTACTTCGTGACAGACGAGCACCCCCTGGTGAAGCCCTTCATATTCGGCCATGAGAGTAGCGGGGTGGTCTGTGCCGTGGGGGAGGGGGTGACCGACCTTAAAGTGGGTAGGTACTGTACTTAACTGTACAAATGGTAACTAGAAAAGCACTCAGAGAGCGCAAACCTCCGTCAAGACAAACAATTAACAAATAACTAACCATGAATTAATTAAAATTCTAATTACTTTAAAAAAAGGCAGCATTATTGACCTATCCAGGAAATTTCATCAAAGTCCGCCCATAAGTTTTAGCATAATGTTGATAACAGACAAACAAACAAACTAACAAACTAAGAGAACTAAAAAGGTAATCTCCTTGGAGAGAGAGAGATAGAGAGAGAGAGATAGAGAGAGTGAGTTTTAGATATATAGACATTTTAGTACTGATATACATAACATTTCAATTTAAAAAAATAATTAATATCTAGTTACATTATCACGTGCAGGTGACCGGGTGGCCATTGATCCAGCACCTTCCTGTGGAGAATGCGAGTTCTGTACTAAAGGCCGCAGTACCCTGTGTCCAAAACTGAACTTGTGGGAACCTGGCATGGGACATCTCAGACAAGTTATTGTCCACAAGGCCGCTCTCTGCTATAAGTAGGTTGTCTATGAAGGCGCCCAGAAACAAATGGTTGAGCAAATCAGTTATTAGCAGAGTTTGATAATTTAATGATATGTCTATGACTAATGTTACGTGGTAAAATTATTTTCTAAATTTTGACAGAATGCCAGACACAATGACATTTGAAGAAGGTGCTCTTCTGGAACCGTTTGTAGTGGCTGTGTACGGCTGTGAAAGAGGACAGGTCAGAGTAGGGACGACAGTCCTTATCGTTGGCGGAGGTGAGAAATCAGCTACTGGCGACGCTAGAACCGCGTGTACGAAATATGAGAACCTTTAGTAGAGCTTTTAGAACATGGAGATTGGACGGGCATATACTTGTCAAAATGTTGAAAATTCCAAGCTCATGGTACCAGTAGAAAGTTCTGCCTTCACGTCTGTTGTTTTTGTGTCTCAGGTTCAATTGGAATGCTGTCCCTCGTCGCAGCAAAAGCCGCTGGTGCGTCCAAAATCTGTGTTGTCGGTAAGATATGTTCATCATAACACCAGTTATATTATTTTCGCTTGCATATATAAAAAAAACGAAAAGCTAAAAATTGTGCTGGACATCGATACAGATATTTAATACATGTAACGTACTTTCGAATTACAAGTTTTCAAGTTTTACTTTTTTTCACTTTCTTTTTCTTCGTTCAACTATTCCCCCATTTGGTTCTCATATCACAACGTCCCTTTTAATTTCTATACATTAGATATCCGTCAAAGTCGCATTGATTTCGCCAAGAAGATGGGGGCCACACACACGGTACTGGTTGAGGGCAGTGACACGGCAGCTACAGGGAAGAAGATAGGGGAGATCATGGGGGACCTGCCCGAGGTGGTGCTGGAGTGTAGTGGCACGGACCCCGGGATGCAGACCGCTATACACGTGAGTTGTAGCCAAGTCCCGATGCCGGCAATTTCAAAGGGTTTGGTGGTATTTTTTATGAAAAAGTGGGCCTTTTATTATAGAAACCTTTGTGCACGTAGATCAAATTTTAACCAGAACTAACCTTTACCAGACGAAATGGACCGTTCGTTTGAACCCCGACTCCCCTTTAGACTATTTACTGCTTGTGCTGAAAACAGTTTCTGCGTTGTCTGTATATATCTTTCTCATCAGCATCGTCATCATCATCATCATCATTATTATTGCTGTTATTGTTGATGTTGTTGTTATTGTAATGTTTTACATTGCGCTTTTCTTTGAACTTTTTTTAGATTAATTTATTAATTTTTATTTATTTCATTAATGATTTGACGGTCATCTGATCATGATAATTTTAATCGAATGATTATGGCAGGCCGTGAAGAAAGGTGGTAAAGTGGTGTTGGTGGGCGTGGCTCCCCAAACGGCAACCATACCTGCGGCCATGCTGTTTGTTAAAGAGGCTGACATTCTGTGTGCCTTCAGATATGGGAACAAGTGAGTAACAGTGATACATTATCAAGCCTCATCTTCAACATATTCACTTTTAGTGACAATATGTATTAGGCGTATTAAGAGGTGAGGATAGGCCTTTCATGTTATTTTGGTTATTAATGAAAACGCCACTTGTAATAGGCCTATTACACCGTTCAGATCCTTTATCAATATATATCACTGGATATGCTGTGGCCCCTTCCTTCTATCTGTCTGTATTCAACATTTTCAGCTTCAAGAATTCCTTGGCTGCCATAACAGCGGGTGTTGTGGACATCAAACCGATAGCGACCCACTCCTTCCCCCTAGAGAAGATTGTCCACGCCATGGAAATAGCCAGTACTGGACAAGAGGGCGCCCTCAAGGTCATGGTGCAGCCAGGAAAAATATAAATACTCGACGACCAAAACTATGCCTCAATACAGCTCCAAATTTTGTTCCAAAGACATGCTTTATTCAAAGACTGTGTTGTCAATACCTAAAATACACGCGGTTAATTTTAGCCCCTCTTTTTCCTTACCTATAATAATCGCTTTGTCAGGTTCAGACTATTCCCTACAGCTTATGTTTCTTCCAAATGTATCACGCTGAACGGAAATTGATAAACTACATCTTTTGTGCCAAATACCTTTGCTGTATTAGACTGCAAAAGAGATATAGAAATGGATTGGAAGCACCATCTACATCTAAACCGGGAGGTTATGGGAACAGCCCAAGACATGCATTTAATGAAGCATATATGAGAGCTCATGTTAAATAAAACCATTGTCTAAATCTTGTGCAAAGTTATTAAAATACTTTTCACATCCTCAAAGCGGTTCCTGATTGTGTTTGCTTAGAGCAACCAACCGCATTTGCAAGTCATCTTTCACATCTATCGCAATGACATATTCTTTTCCTCTAAGAAGCTGATCAAACCAATATCAGATTGAAAATCTTCTGAAAATAAGTATTTTGTTGATTTCGCTTCTCATGTTCTTAACATTAATAATCTGTTGTTTAAGGTTTGGGTGTTTTCAAGACTAGCAGGTAAAATTTGCCATAGGCCTATTTTTTTCAATGTCCATTTTGTTTATTGCGTCATCACAAGGTATATATGTTGAAGAATGTATACTTAGGCTTTTTCAAAAACCAAAAGATCACATATTGTATGTAATCCACGTAATATACTATTTTTTCTTGTTTTTTGAAAAATAAAATTCAGAAAGCTGCGAACTCCTCAAATACCAGTATAGACTTGTAGGCCCTAATACCATTTGATGAAAGTAACGTAAAATAACCAGATAACAAACACACATTATTTTGAGTCTAAAATGAATACACCTGATTTGAACGACCATTATACTGTAGTTATAAGGATAACAAACGTTTAAAGACTGGGGACCGACACTTAAAACAAGAGCGAGTAACGAGTGTGGAGGGGGCGTTACGCATTAACAGAACAGCGGGCACTTGTTTTCAAACCAACTTCATTTCATGTCATGGAAGCGTGGCAGAGCGCAGGTTGTTTGTAGTCGTGCTGGAAGTTCCAAATTTGCTCCGACGCCTAGTCTGGTGGATTTCGAACAATGGCTTTTACAGGCAGTTACGAAGTATCTCAGGTTTCCGATTCGGGGGATGTTTCTGATCAGGGAACATTTCGCCCCCTGAAAGAGTTGGTGGAAGAAAGCCTTCTTGCCCGTGGTCAGGCCGGGAAGGCCTCTCAGTCGAACGGTGTGTTCACAGATCAGCTGCTGGACAGCCTGGAGGAAAGCTGTGTCGATGACGACGATACCGGCCGCGTAGGACTGGATCTTACTGTGACAAGTGCTCTAGATCCCATCGCCAACGGCAGCACTGAGCCTGTTGAAGTTGAGCATCCTGTAGCCGGGGACCTCAACGCGACCGGCTCGATGGCAGAGAGCGCTACACCGACCGAGAATGTTACTACCACAACAACAGAGGACGCAGAGGGCAATAAAGTTACCACCGTCACCAAGACCGTGGTTGAAGACGGCGGCATGAAGACAGTGAAGACAGTGACAACGGGGCGTGGGGACGAGAACGCTGGAGAGATGAAGACGGTGAAGACGACCACGACGGTGACACACGGCTCGGGTCCCGTGAAAGAAGAGTCTGTTCAAGTAAAGCGAGTGCAGTGTGTAGCTGTGCGCGTAGTCAAAGGTAAATACTATGTGTGCAATTATGCGGCGACGTGAATGAATTTAAAACCACTGTGCATGTGTTTAAGTTAAATATTTGCCGACGCTTGAAATTAACTAAATTTGTTTTTTACGATGTGATATTTCAGCAACGAACTTTTTTGCAGAAGAAATCCAAAACCTACACGCGCAAAAATGTATGTGCACAATGGTCACAGTAAGTTGATAAAAATATTTAAAACCTGAATTAAATAATTGTTTGAAACACATGCCAACTAAACCACCGCCGTTTTCCCAGCTGTTTCTTTTGTCAGTGTTAAAGACAGGGTGTCAAATTGTATCAGCAGAGGAGTAAGCACCCCTAATTGGATTAATCTCATATATCCACTTCCCCTTCTAATTGATTTTAGGAAACCATTTACATCTTCCACCCTGATAGCCATCACTTTCCACTTACTCCCTATTTACAACTTGAAGCAAGGCCAATATACACTGAATCTAACTAGCTTATTAGTTTGGATCACTTAATTTAAATACAATCAAGAACTCAATTATACAAGAGAAGAGCAATGCAGGCTACTTGCTCCCCCCCCTCCCCTCCACATCCCCCTCCACTACTCACGCCCGTAGGCAGGTCGTGGGGGAGGGCTTGAAAGAACAGTTAGCCCTTTCAGTGGAATAGGTCCATTCTTAATCAAAGTTTGATCTAGGTTCTATGTCATATTTGAAGTTTGGCCACTTATGGGGTAAAGAGGTCCATATGGAACGCCATCCATGCAAAAAATCAGACTTGCAATTTAATAGCCAAATGACATTCTAACAGCCTACAAGAAATCTAACAGTGGTCAAAATAATCTCATAGCCAACTCATAAAATTTAACAATGTTAAAAAATCTAATAGCCAACTCATAAAATTTAACAGCGTTAAAAAATCTTACAGCCAACTCATAATCTTACAGCCAACTTCTCAAAACAGCCAAGTCAGCATCTAACGCTAGAGGTCACTGCTGTCACGGGTCTGTCCGTGGACGGCACGTAAAGTGATGACGTCATCTGGAGCCTGAGAGATGTTGTTTAACATCCACATTACGTGGATGGAAGGTCGAATCAGAACTAATATAAAAGAGTATTTTGCCACCGGAATCCGTGGAGTTCCTTCCCGAAAGATACACAAGAAAACAGTGTTCAGTTTCAAACACCCGCACTAAGTAATGCAAGGTTACATCGCGTAGGATAAAACATGGCGGTGCCTAGGACGCATTGTCCTATCATAGGACGCAACACTGGACGTAATCTGCATATTCATGAATCAAAACTGCGACCTAATTTCACCCAATGCATAATCTGGGTCACTAGTCTCACGTTTTACTACGATGGTAATACAAGTCCAACGTTCATCGCATTACAATCACCGATGGGATGACAGTGAACGTTCTATTTAAAATGATTCTTTTAGAAACATATATTTATAAGTGTTTTAATATATAGAACAAGATAAATGCTTTGTTGAAAAGATTTTTATTATAAAATAAAAATATTGTAAAGGGACCAAAACAATGGGGAAATAATTCTATGTATACTGAGGCTTAATTTGCTCTTACATTTTCATGCTAAATTCATTCCAGATTAATATCAAAACCACATAAGATATTCAATTAGGTCAAACATATGCGTAATTGGGAGTTTATCTTTATGTTACATGTTCATATACAGAAAAGAGAATATGTTACAAGCACTGGAGTTACAATTATATTTAAATGACGTCATCACTTTACGCGCCGTCCACGGATAGACCCGTGACAGCAGTGACCTCTAGCGTTAGATGCTGACTTGGCTGTTTTGAGAAGTTGGCTGTAAGATTATGAGTTGGCTGTAAGATTTTTTAACGCTGTTAAATTTTATGAGTTGGCTATTAGATTTTTTAACATTGTTAAATTTTATGAGTTGGCTATTAGATTATTTGGACCACTGTTAGATTTCTTGTAGGCTGTTAGAATGTCATTTGGCTATTAAATTGCAAGTCTGATTTTTTGCGTGGATGGCGTTCCATAGGTCCACTTTTTCAGAAATGGAACCCTCCTTGGAAATTGCTGGCTACAGGGCCTGCAACTTCACACTTTGAAGGCTTAATTTACACATCAATTCTAACATGAAGTTATTCAGTAAACAGCAACGGCAACCCATAAATCTTCCTTATTTATTTCAAGTTTTAAGTTAGATAATTTTTACATTCAGCATTGTATTTTACTATAGATCTGAGAGGTGGACTGCGTACTGTGATTATGGATGTCAGAGGTTTCAGGACACACCCAGTATCCAGGGTTGTGTGCACATCTGCTTTTCATTTACAGATATGGTCCTTGCTATATCATAGCACACATTCCAACAGATGGAAAACTAATGGAGCTTTGGCCCACATAATTGTGTCAAGACCTCAATATTACTATATTCATTATTCTTCACCCCATTATGTGGCAGATTTTGGATATTTGTTTTCTGAAATTTGTGTTCTCTAGTTTGAAAGAATTTGATTGGTGGTGCATGAGACATAGTTTAATGTCAGGGCAGATTTTTTTGCTTACAGTCTTTAAAAAATAGCTGAATAGTTGTAATAAATCTTTTTTTTCATGAATAGGTTGTACATTTTTAAAAATCCAAATGCAGGTTTGGTGAATTTGGAGAATCTTTCTCCACAGGACCTTGTGTTTACAAATAGTCAGAGTGCCAGTCCCCAGCCTTGACCAAGCTAACAAAATGCCATAATATTTAGAATTCTGGCCTGAACAATTCTGGAAACACTTGCCTGTTTCTTATTTGGTGAATCATAAGAGCATGCATGGAGTGTAAGGATTCTTAGCTATGTGGTCCTCACCCAAATTCTGCAATATACATTGCTAGGGCTTTTGTTTTTCAATTAACCCTCACCATAATTTTAATAAGATAAGCACAATAGTTATCATGCTGAATTGCCCATTAAAATTGTCAAATGAATATTGAAGCAGATAAAATACAAGCTCCTGGCTTTTGGTTGGGGAAATCATCAAAGCATCTCAAGTTTGTGTCTATGCAATGTCAGAAAAGTGATACTGTATTTTTGGAAAACAGTTCCTACATCATCCATGTTCTGTAAACACATGTTTTATAGTTCGGGCCGGTTGAAGGATAGTTCGGAAGCCAGTGCTTGAGATAGCTGCATTAGGGTGTGGTTACATTTTTAGGAGTAAAAAACCCGAAGGTTCGCTTTAAGCATTGTGGTTTCCTGCATGCAAACATAAAACCAATTTTGCTTTAATT